ATGATAACATCAACATGCAAACAATCCAAATAAGAAAAGGTATTGAAAATTAAAATTCAGTTTTCACAGACGTCTGACATGGTTCACGTTCAAACAAAATCAGTTGAGGCAAGAAGTCAGCCTCAAGAACCCAAACATAAAGAACCTCGTCAGAACATGTCAACAGAAGTCTCTAGATTGGATCGCTATGCGCACATTAAATACAGAGCGCAAACCACGCAGGAATCGCGAGGACAAGCGTATCGCAAAGAGGATCAAGAGAGAGCGCATAATAACAACCAGTGTGTACGCGCCGAGTTAAAACTCTAAGCCGAGTATTAAGAAACAGCAGGATCAGCAAGCTGAGCCTTCACATGTTTTGTTGGATATGGGAGCTGCCATTGTCATCATGGCTGCCAGGGGGCCTGGGCAGAGCTCCTCACCCTGCAAGCGCATTTCTGGGCTTCCTGAGAATGAGGGCCTTCCACCATGCCCAGCTCAGTCTCTTCTACAAGCGTCTGTTGCACTTGGGTGGAAAAGTCTTTGTGCCTGAAGGCTGAAGGCTAGTTGTCTCTGCCCATCGGCAGGACAAGATCTTCCCATGCTGGCGATTCCCCTTTGGCCCTTTGAGTTCCTCCTTAGTAGGCCAGATGCCTGGGGAAATCCATGTAGGTGTCGTGACGCCCAACGGCACGACATCCTTGGGATACATTCCGTCCATGTCATCCCCAGAGGTTGCCAGAGCAGTGATCAGATTCAAGTGGAATGGCTGGCCCTCTGCCACCACTTCCGCCTTGTGTTGATTGAGGTTGATGGCCTCAGCAAGGGTACGCCTCGTCTGAGCAAGCAATGCTCCAGAGAAGGGGTGTTTCCTGCCCCCCTTGATAGATTGCTGGACCTCCTGGGCACAAGACAGTGCCAAGGGAACTAACAAAGATCCCCGGGAAGCCAATTTTGAGGGTGCCCTCAAGGGGGGTGGCTGCCGGCCCGAAGGGAAGCCCAAATGTACAATAATTGGGCCGTCTGCCAATGTCATGGCTTGTGAGAGGGGCACCGAGGAGGATCTGTCCGTCCTGCTCCCCTTGCTTGGCTGAGCTTGAGGGTGCCCCTCATGGTTCAAGCTAAGCCAATGGCCTCGACTAGGCCCAACATCATTTTGTATGGGTATCGGCTCAGGTCACCGCATCTCCTTTGGCCTCGTGTGCTCGCCATGGTTGCACCATAGGCCTTGCCAGTGAGTGATGGAGTGGAAGGCTGGTGGAGAGCATCGTGCTCTTCTGGACCACTTGCCCCAGTCGGCATTGGTCGAAGTGGATCCGGTGGTGTTGCAGGATCTTGGCCCATTGTTTGTAAACCTCCGTAGCCCAGATGGAAGAGCATTTTGTCGCCGCCGGTGCCCGGCTGCAATCTACTGGGTCTCTGGGGTGTTCCAAAAACGAATGGACCTCCGAGGGGCCTCTTGCTTTGCGCACCAGAGCGGTGATGACCATCTGCCGGAGCAGCAGGAGGCTGTCCCTGCCGGTGTCAAGTTGTTATTCCAGGGAGTTTGTCTCACGTGGTCGCCGACATATACCGCTGAATCGCAATCATGGCTGCCGCTTCATGGTAACCACCATACTGCCGACTCTCATCCATGAAGGCTAGGCTGACCTTCGTCAACCACAAAGATAAAGTGGAATAGCGCATGCCCAATTCTGCCGTGACCGATCCGCCGGTGGCAATCAGCGCTCTTCGACTAGCTATAAGTCGGTTGCGGTCCCACATGGCACATCGATGTCTGTGGCATAAGCTTTGCCCTTTCCTTCTTCAATTCTTCCCAACAGCCTCCCAAAGCTGTACTGGCAGGGCGCACGGAGGTCCACGATCTGGTCACTGAGCGCTTTAGCGGCAACATTCGAAATCTGGTACCACGCAACACATTGCTATGAGCACCACCGCAAGCCATCGTGTCTTACCAGCACCGAACATGCCTGCAATGCACAAGTCACTCCGTCCTGTCAGCAAAGCAAGGAGCAGAGAGACTGCGACTGCAAGGATATGTCCATCTCCATGCGCTACGAGTGAAGGCAGTGTACTTCTGAAGTATTCGGCATGGGGAATGTCAAGCACAACGTCCGCCGGCGTGAGAAATCTTCTAACGAGGCTGAATGCTTCACTGTTTGCAAGTGGCACATGCCAATGTTGACACGGATTGAAGTATGCGCAGGTCTCAGTAATTTGCTCAATGAGTTTACTGCAAAATGCTCGGGCTAAGTCCAGCGGTAGCAGTGCCAATTCCAGAGATTTCGGTGCAATACGCTTGAATGCCCGGAGAGCTGCGTCATCATTACGACCTTGCATGGCCTTCTCTAACAATACCTTCGACTGTCTGGGTTAGTCCACACTCCTAGGAGGGCTCGACCAGCCATGAGGTCAGCTTCTAGATCTCCTAATCGCCCTCCTTCACATAGTTCCCACGGAGTGAAGTTGGGGATGTTGTGGGGATCACCAAACAGGAGCAGTGGCTGTTTCTCAACCTCCAGGGTGAGGACATGCACAGCAGGATAGGACTCATAGCTATAGTAGAGGTTGAATGTTAGGCCAGGTGTACTGGGCGGCAAATGGGTTTGCATCAATCGGACACTCTCCCACGGACGCGCTTGCTGGATGCGGCGCCCCTCATGATAAGTTTCCAATTGTGGCAGGATCATGTCAAGTAGGAATACTAATGGCCGCAGTGGGAAAGTGTTGAGGAAGTTGCGGAGCAGCTGTTGTAACACCTGTCCTGCCCCGCTCTGAGGGTGGCCCGGGATTGGGACCAGTGACACGAGGTACTTGCAGTCCTCTTGGACACAGGGACTGATATGCATTCAGGCCACGGATCACAAGTCCTCGGGATGACCGAGTTCCCCACTCATTGGTCCGATTACTAGGTGCTCACACGATGAGTCACATTGACCTTCGCAGTGGCTTGAATGCAGCAGCACTTGCCATCCTAGTGGTTGCCGCGTCTCCCGAAGAGTTCGTCATACTTGAGTGCACGGACACGCTTGAGGCGGCAGGAATGGCGGGCATCCACCGGTGGGGACTGATCCTTCCCAACAGCTCCCGGGTCTCTGTGCTGACTTACAAATCTATTGTAGCTGTTCGCTACCCGGAACTTGTCTTGCAAAACAATCGCCAGATACAAATTGGTCACTTTGTTGCCCATGAAAACACTGTCGACCATGGAGGCTTCCGTGCCATCTTTTCGGAGCCACCCAAAGACTTGCGTGCAGCCGTTGATGATCTGGTGGTCATATTGAACTACCTCCGTCGTAAGCATAGAGGCTTCAGCCAAGGGGCCACTAGTCAGCTCATGGTGCTTTGCAGCCCTACGGCAGTTCATGATCAGCTACTCCAACACGGATTCCATACTACATGGCAAGGAGGCATACGTATCTCCACGGTCTCTTCAGCTGCTGGGGCTACTGCCCGTGTTGCTGTAGTAGTTCAAACTGGTTGTGGGTTTCTCAGCGGAGGCCGAAAGAGCGCCACAATGCATGATAAAGAAGACAGTTATGGTAGGGCCACCGTTGCGCTTACCCGAGCTATCCAGCACACATATCTCTTGTCCCCCGTTGACATGGCTGGATTGCCAGGGATGGCCCAGGTGCTTGCGGTTTTTCACACTGGGTTCTATATACCCTCCGCCAGGGTGAAGTGCGGTCACATGGAACAGCGCTTGTCCCTCCTGATTCGGCTGCGATTCTAGAGTGGGGCCTTGAAGCCCCCTTCATTCCTCAAGACCGACCACCCCTTGTGCGAGGGCCTTCAACCCAAAGTATGATCTCAAGAACCAACACCTGCAACACTGCACGCTTCAAGCCCCCTTTTGCACGCGACAACAAGCACAAAAAGCTCTGTCAGTTCATGTGGCTATACTTGGCTTATCTCTTGTTCGACTCACACTCCTTGACAGTGAAATCGGCAGAGGAAACTCGATTTCAGGTCTAAACAATTCCGGAGGCAAATCAAAACCTACATGACGACAAAAGTTTCTTGGACAAAAGTCACAAAATAAGTGACGTCCAAACTGTTTGGTTTCAGGTTCACAAATCCCTAGATCTACAAACCCTGCAAGTTAATTAGTTCATCCAAACAGGTCGTTACACCCCCGTAATGTTGGGTTTTCTTCCCATCAGCAGCCATCGTGATTCTCAACACAAGTCTCGACGAAGACCTTTTAGTCAAGTGATGGCAACAAGCATCACTTGGGAAGAAAGCCCAACGATATTGGGTCTACATTCCAACGACCTATCGACGAAAAACTGCACAAGTTCAAACTGTCACATGCAAAACATTTCAAAACTTTTCGAAACAATCTCAAACGTTCCCAAAACGGTTTCAAACAAATTCATCCAACTCAGAAAACCCCTGATGAAGGTATGTACAACGACTGGCAGCATTTCCAAGTGCTGACTGTCTTCCACGATGCAAAAACAACAGGCAATACCTAGGACCTAATGTTCGTCACTTGCCAGCTCAGAAACCCTCTGAGGCTGATAGGTATGGTCGCGAAGACGGCAACGTCGAGCGATACGACAAAGCAATCTCCACAAATACATATCTGTAGACAGCATATCCAGATGCTTCGACCAAACCAGCTGTTTGTTACATCGATTTGGATTTGAACGTACCATTCTGCAGCAAATTGTCCAGAAAAGATCAATGCAGCTACCAAACTGCTTCAATCCAGCTGAAAACGTCTCAAATGCAGAAATGAATACATCCCAGGATAGGACTTCTCGCAGCTAAGCACTTCGGAATAACCACAATGTACCAAAACCCATCATCATGCAGAAACAAACACCTTCCACCATAGATACACGGCGCTCCACTAAACATAGTTTCACACCCCCTTTCGACGTGGCATCTATGGTGCAGTCGCTCTTCAAAATCTCTGATCTCCAAAGCCATATGCTGAGCAACCCAAGGCGATGACATCCATCATCTATCAGAAAACTCAGCAATGCCGCTATAATAGTATACTATAGATCTCCTCAAGAAGCAAAAGTTCGCTCATACCCCTTCTTGTGCTGATAGTTCATGGCTTGCAAGTACATAGCGAGATCCACAGCCTGTGTTGGTGGTTCCTCACATGCCTGCTCGCCGAACTTGGCAAGAATGAAGTTCAAATATCTCCTCATCTTTTCGTTGTGCTCTGACATAGAAAGGGCTTTTGCAAAAGTGAGCTTCTCCTTTTTCCATGCGTCCATCGTAATGAGGACACGCCCCCACTTCTCAACTGATTCCACTCCCTTTGGGAGGAAAAATTCCTTCTTCTGCTTCTCAGGCTCTGATGATTCCTGGGCTTTCTTCAAATCATACTCAACCGCGCCGTTTGGATGCATCTGACATGTTGCCACCCACGCGACTGTCGCCAATCATGGCGATAGATACCCGGTTGCGGCGTGCTAACAAAGCCTGCATGGCTGCTTCGTCAGCTTCTGTCCAAACTTCACTGGAATTTCCAGTCTCGATCTTTGAGGAAGCTCCGGACTTAGCCATGGCTCAGACGGCGGGATGGCAGACTACAATGAAAATGTTTACTTATGCGCGCAAGGGGACTCTCAGCCAACAAGCCCCAGGCAAAGGCCTCAAAATCAACCCTCAAGTCTCCAACTTACGCACAGCACAGTGCAGAACCCAAAAAAGAGCCACACAAACAGAAAACGAAGGACCCACAAACTCAGACGACAAAACACGTCCCGCAGGCCTCCTTCCTAGAAACCTTCCCAACCTACCAAACCCACCTCACGTTTGTGATTGGTGGTTGAAAATGCAAAAACAAAATGTTTGTTTGTTTGCATCGTTTGTCTTGGACATGACTGCAAACATGCCTCACTGCAAAATAAAGTGCAAAACAAGCCAAACTGAATGCTCACACAATCACAAGTCAAAACCAAAAAACAATCATGTCGCTTCTAATGCTTTCGTGGCAGCTTTCAAAATACTCCTGGCCAAAGTTGTATTATATCTCGCCGTTTCAGACCAATTCACTTCGTTCATGACAGCATGCGAATCCACGCACTTACACTGCCCGAAGTTCTGGTTCATGATCATCACAAACGGGCGAGAGTTGGAGGTGAACCCCAGACTCTTACCAACTGCTTTTCCAGAAGCTATTCGAAAGCCTGTTGCACACAAGTGTACTTGCACGTCAAATAAGTGCCCGGCTTTCCTGAGTGTCTCCTTGGTCAAGACCCGATTCCAGATTTCATTCCTCCATGGAAGTTCAAATGAACTACAATCACCTAGTTTCACATAGAAACCCACATGTGGGGAAATCCGGTCCCAATCAAAATCCGCAGAGGTTGGTTCAATGTTTCCCTTGCAATGCCGCAGGGGTGATCCTGAAGCACATGGTGATGAAACATGAACAGAAACCTTCTTTGGATCTCGATACTGGTTCAAATACTGAGACACTGCCGTCTGAGTACTCTCGGATTCCATGTCTTGTGTGATGCCCATGTAGGGGATTCCCAAACGCTTAGCTTCACATGCAAGTGCAGACCCCCTTTCACAGCAAACTTCCACAAAGACCATGTTTCTCTGATTATGTGTCAGGCTTGACACTGACCCCTCAATCACTTCAAAACCAAGGCACGACCTAAGGGGGGGGCTTCAAGGGGGGCTTCAAGGGGGGCTTCAAGGGCGGCTTCAAGGGGTAGCTTCAAAGGGTAGCTTCAAGGGGGGCTTAACGGGAGCCTAAGGGGCAGGTTAAGGGTGGGCTACGCTTAAGGGGGGGCTACTCTAGAACTATTATCCGTATTCCAACAACAACAACAACAACAACAACAAAACAACAACAACACCAACAGCAACAGCAACAGCAACAACAACAACAACTTCGTCGTCGTCGTCGTCGTATTCGTAGTCGTAGTCAGTACTAGTAGTAGTAGTAGTAGTAGTAGTAGTAGTAGTAGTAGAAGTAGAAGTAGAAGTAGTAGTAGTAGTAGCAGCAGTAGCAGTAGTAGTAGAAGTATTAGCAGTAGTAGTAGCAGTAGTAGGAGCAGTAGTAGTAGTAGTAGTAGTAGTAGCCTCCCTTGAAGCTGCCCTTTGAAGCTACCGCCGCCCTTGAAACCCCCTTGAAGCCCCAATTGAAGCTCCCCTCGAAGGCCCCCTCAAGCCCCCCTTAATCCCCCCTTAAGCCCCCCTTGAAGCCCCCCTTGAACCCCCCTTGAACCCCCCTTGAAGCCTCTTTAAGTTTCTTCTTCTTAAGCCCCATCTTAAGCTTCCCCTTAAACCCCCCCTTAACACGACTTCCAACCTTTAGGGGAGGGGAGGTAGAGAAGGAGGGGCCCCCCTTCATGACCTTTGAGCCCCCGCTCAAGGCCTCCATTCAAGTCCCCTTTCGACGAAAGGGGGGGACCGCCTTCATGGTGTTAGGGTCGCATTTGGGGGTACCTTGCGGGTTGGATCTGAAGTCTCACAGTCTTGTTGTCTCTGTCGGGAGTGGGGCGGTACTTAGTACCATGGGGGAAGGTTTTGGCGGCAGCAGGTTCAAAGTCTTGTGTTGCCCTAGTTTCTAGAGTCACAAAGGAAACAACATGTGTGGAGGAATCTGTTGCAGGTTCTGGCACGCGAGCTGAACCACTTGAAGCAGCAGCACAAAGCGTTGCGACAGGCATCTCAACTGTGTTGCTTTGGCTTGCAGATGCAATTTGTCACTGTTTTCTGATGTTGGCCCTCTTGAGACCGTCGCGGAGAACAAGAAAGAACAGAAGTCGGCAGCAAAGCGCCGCCAGCGGTTGCTAAAAGCAGCACAACAGCCGCCAAGCTGGGATGTGCCTTTTCCCACAGCGCGGAGCGTTTAGTTGATGAACTTGGCCAACTATACCCTGAAAACCGTGGAAATTTGCAGAAAAACATGGCCAGCGTTTGCGTAGTTGGTTCAATTCAATAAAACTAGACGACGGATGGCCCGAGAGCGTAGAGGAGCAGGGTCTTCTCTTGTTAGTATGGAGACGCAATTTTAGAAACGATGTATGAAAGATGTGTTATAGGCAGTCGAGAAGAGGAGTATCAAGACCAAATAGTGAGAAGCTTTTACACACAGTAGCTTTTACACAGACACTTTTACACAGAAAGCTTTTACCCACAGAAGCTTTTACATACAGAAGCTTTTACACAGACACGTTTACACACAGATACGTTTACACACAGACACTTTTACACACAGACCCTTTTACACAAAGGAGTTGCTTTTACACACAAATGCTTTTACACACAAACGCTTTGACACACAGACGCTTTTACACACAGACAACCTCTACACACAGACGCTTTTTACACGCAAACGCTTTCACACACAAACACATTTACACACAGACGCTTTTACACAGAAACACTTGAACACAAACACTTTTACACACAAACACTTTTACACACAGACGCTTTTACACACAGACACTTTGACACACAGACGCTTTGACACACAGACGCTTTTACACACAGACGCTTTTACACACAGAGACTTTTACACACAGAGACGCTTTTACACACAGAAGCTTTTACACACAGACGCTTTTACACACAGACGCTTTTACACACAGACAAGAACGGCACAAGTAAAATCGCACTTTTACCTCAGTTTTTGCCGATCGACCCTCATTTCGCGCGAAAGGGTTGCTCCAGGACAAGTAAAATCGCACTTTTACCTCAGTTTTTGCCGATCGACCCTCATTTCGTGCGAAAGGGTTGCTTTAGCACAAGTAAAATCGCACTTTTACCTCAGTTTTTGCCGATCGACCCTCATTTCGCGCGAAAGGGTTGCTCCAGGACAAGTAAAATCGCAGTTTTACCTCAGTTTTTGCCGATCGACCCTCATTTCGTGCGAAAGGGTTGCTTTAGCACACGTAAAATCGCAGTTTTACCTCAGTTTTTGCCGATCGACCCTCATTTCGTGCGAAAGGGTTGCTCCGGCAGAAGTAAAATCGCACTTTTACCTCAGTTTTTGCCGATCGACCCTCATTTCGTGCGAAAGGGTTGCTCCAGGACAATTAAAATCGCACTTTTACCTC